TATCTGGCTGGAACAGTCATATTCTTTCATTCTCTGAAGATTTCTTAGGCTTTCACTTTTAAACACACACTATGTTTTAGATTTTCTATATGTTAAGACTCTCATTACTTCATTTAAAAATTACTTTGAGAGCAAATGTTTGGCCTGAGTATATGCAAATAATCTCACGCTTGAGTTGCAAATATCACATTTTGGCACAACTCTAACCTCATTAGATGTACGTGCCTTTATACCAACAGCTTTGCCATTTTATGAGACTAATTTCTTTCCCAGGCAAATGAATAATGTAGTTTTCTCCTTCCAGATTTTAGTCACTGCACCTAGCTAATAGTGTTTACTTCCATCACCCCAAGCCTACAAACACAGGCGTAACTCAAGTTAGTAGAATTAAATAGTAAGTAAGTGCTCATAGAACTGGGCCCTAACACTGTACTTTGTTGCAGACAGTTTGAGGATAAAATTTTTATTCCACTGCAGCTACATTTCTAGATTGCAGGTTAGGCAGGGAACATGAATTCAACCTGAGCTGATCTAAAATATTAAAGATTTTCTTGTGGTTTCAGCCAGCAAGAAGCACTGAAAAGTAGTAAGGAGAATTCATTATTCTGATTTAAAGACAATCTTAAAAGAAAGTTGTGCCCATTTGCTCCACACCGCCATCTAAAAATGTACACGGCAAAAGGCATACACTATTTTAATTTTGATTTAATAAGACAATTACTATATGTTAAATAAGAATCAACTAATTATTTAAAGATATTTAAGGATTACTGGCAAGATAAGATAAATATATCTATGATATTGTAATCAATATGTATGCTATCCATAACCTGCTATTTAACCCACAGCTGCTTTATGAAAAAGCTGGAGAGGGCCTGTTCTGTTTGGTACAGATAGTTGAACAGGTCCCTTCCAAATAGGGTGACCAGATGTCTCAATTTTATAGGGACAGTCCAATTTTTTGGTCTTTTTCTTCTATAGGCTCCTATTGCTCCCTACCCCCGTCCTGATTTTTCACATTTGCTGTCTGGTCACCCTACTTCCAAACCTGTCATCCATGACCTGATGGATCTAATTAAGTACAGTAACACAACACTCCCACTCCCCCAAGATTCATGGGAATTACATGGATAGTAATGCCTTTTTGCAGCTGATGACTTTATAATGAAAATGGCATCTCTATGTATTTCATTTGGTTTTATTTCTATACAAAATAAAAAGCACATAACCTGAGATGCAGCTGCTTCTGAAGCATGTTTTACAAAAAGTAACAAATACATCAGCCTATCCTAAACCAAGGGATTACCAACAAAATTATTAAAGCTTAACATTCTCTGTGCTCACCAAAAGCTCCTCTCCTCACCCCTCTCCCCAAAAGCCTGGGATGATAAATGAGCTTTGTGGTCTGCCTTGAAGGTCAGCACATTTGGTCTATTCTGGACCAAGGGTGGAGTGAATTCCAAAGGTAAAGGCTCCTCAGGGAGCACAACCTGCCCATAGTCCGCCCCCCTCGCCCCCCATCCAGGACTCCCGCACAAGTGCCTCCACTGATTACAACAGCAGCAGAATCACACTGGGACGGGGAGAAAGGTGATCTCTCAAATAGGAAAGTCCCAAGCTCTGTACATTCTGTGAAAGCAAAGAACTGATAAAAAATACTGTAATTATCCACAAATGACACACTTTTTTGTTTCAGGACATATTGTACTTCACTTCTGGGACACCTGAACACAGACAATTATCTAGGACACTGTACTGTATAAACATGGAAGACATCTGGTTTTTTGCTTGTTTCAAGAACCCCACCACACCTCCATTCAGAATAATGTCCTGAATAAAACTAGTGCCTTGTTGTTAGCAAGAGGGTTTCAACACTGGCATCCAATGTTAAATTACATTTTATAATGGTAATGAAAGGCCATTAAAGGGAAAAAAAAACATACAAGGTCTGTGAAGGAGTATGAAGGGTTAATGGGCTCAATGTGATATTAAATTAAATGAGGTGTTAGGACACTCTGGATGACTTTTCTGATAGAATTGCAAAATTACTGGAAGAAGGGGAAGGGAATGGGAATTTTAGAAAAACATTGATAGTGTCTGAAAAAACTTAAGCATTAAGATGAATTCAAATTGGCCTGAGTATGAAAATTCATGTGAATTGAAAGCTGGCTCAAGGACTGTACACTAAGGATAATAATAAAAGTACTGAGAAGCAGGAGTCTGATCAGGAAATGCAGAGATCATGGATAGATTCACTCTTTATTTAATTTATTTTTAACGAAGAAGGGAGAGTGAAATTCACTGGGTAAGTACAAGGGAATGTTAACCAGGGGTCATCAGATGAACTGAATATTTAGGAAATATTCTGACAGGAAGATCTTTTAGGCTGTGGAATTGTCTCCCCAAGAAAGATGGAAGTTCTATTGCTTGGGATATTTAAAACCTTATTTGTCAAAACCATAGTACAGCTCCTCTCAGAAAGAAGTGAGTTCCTCTCAGGAAGAGGTACTGGTTTTTGAGGATGAGTGTGGCCAGTTTGCCTACTCCCCCCACCCAGTCAGTTTCAAAAGAAGATATTTAAAGCCTTACTAGAACACTATGCCCAGATCTAGATGGGCTCCCTTTATTTTCCAATTTTGCATTTGCTCTGGTGCCCTCCTGTGCTGAAACATGAAAGTGCACCTATCTGTTTAAGGTTTTTCCCTCCAACAGTATTGATTATACCAACGTTTGCAAAATAATAAGGTCCCAGTTTTGCCTTTTTGGTCAGTTGTATAGTTAGCTTAGAATGTTAATATTCTGGTTAATAAAAAAAATGAAACCATGGAACTTCACTTTAGAAGTCTCTTTTTAGATCAAGGCAGCCAAATATGTCTGTGACAATAATGACTATTACCCATATTTGTGCATATGGCTCACCTCATGTATCATATAGTGTACATGGGCATTTTAAAAACTATGTGACTGAAAAAGGGCTTACTGTTCAACATGAAGGGACTGAGTAAATCCCTCTGTATAGGTATACTTTTAAAGGAATGTTGTCAAGATTAAATTCATATAAACCCCCCATTTTATTAATAGTACCTTAGGTGATTAAATCAGGAAAATTTCTGAAATCTCATTTTCTTTTAATCATTTATGTATTTGTTTATTGTTTTCATTTCCCCCTTACTGAACAATGAAATGGAACAAGTGACTCTTAAGCCAGGTTTACACTTGGATCACTTTACTGGTATACTATACTGGTATAGTATATTGGAAAAGCACACCTAGTGTGGATGCAGTTTATATTGGGGCAAAACTGAGCTTTTTCCAGTATAATTGTGTCTACATTGTGGGCTTTTGCTGGTACAGCTCTATGCCAGCAAGAGCTTATAGTGTAGACCTGGACTGAAATCAGTGGATTTAAATCTGAAGACATATTGCCAAGAAAAGACCACACATAAAAACCCAAAGCACAAAAGTTAGGCCCAGCTCCAATTTCAGAAATGAGTGCCTCACCATACAGGAGGAATAAATACTGTATTTCCTTTAACCTATTAACTCTAAACTCATCTAATCTGGCTGTGTCTACATTAATTTTCTCTGGGAATTTTCTTACCTTTTTACCACCACTGTGGCAGGTCCCCAGTTGGTAGTGAAATGGCACCAAGGCACCATCCATTTTGTTGTCTAACCCCGTTCAGAACCTAGATGTCACAGTGGTAAAAATGGAAGGAATGCTCATGCCTTGCTACTCTAACATTTTCATCACTTTGCTCTTATTAGAGGAGCTGCATTAGTGGTAATAGAACTGTAGGAGAATTCCCAAATAAGGCTAGTGTAGACAAAGCCATAAAGCTCCGAAAGCATGGCTGATGTTTACAGAATTCCAGCAGTTTCTCTGACTAGCACTGATGTACATTTTTGTTTATTATAATGGAGTTACCAAATCACACTAGTACCATTCTAATTGCAATGTGGATAGGGCCTAATGTTTTATGGAGAGTAGGTTTTAAAATTACACTACTTCAGTGTATAATCCTCTGGTGCAGAGGAGGCCAACCTGTGGCTCCGGAGCCACATGCGGCTCTTCAGAAGTTAATATGCGGCTCCTTGTATAGGCACCGACTCCAGGGCTGGAGCTACAGGTGCCAACTTTCCAATGTGCCAGGGGGTTCTCACTGTTCAACCTTGGCTCTGCCACAGGCGCTTCCCCAACTCCACCCCTTTCTGCCCCCTCCCCTGAGCCTGCCCTGCCCTCACTCCTTCCCCCCGCCTCCCAAGAGCCTCCTGCATGCCATGAAACAGCTGATTGGGAGGTGCGGGGAGGAAAGGGGAGGCGCTGATCGGCGGGGCTGCCAGTGGGTGGGAGGTTCTGGGAGCGGGCTGGGGAGCTGATGGGGGGCTGCTGACGTGTTACTGTGGCTCTTTGGCAATGTACATTGGTAAATTCTGGCTCCTTCTCAGGCTCAAGTTGGCCACACCTGTTCTGGTGGATGCATATTACAAGGCTCCTGCTGCAGCAATCCACAGAGGATATGACTTGTTGCAGCCACCCCTTTCCAGCCAAGGTTCTTTCACTCAAACTGTAGCAGCTCATGTGTTTAGTTCAATCCCAAACATGGCTATCACGCATAGATCGACTTCCCAATGAAGAAAACAGGAACTGAAGTAGCTTTTCAGGGTGCGTTTACCCAAAATAAATAGTAAACTGTCATGAAATTTACTAGTTGAAGCAGGAATTGCTTTGCTACTGTTAATCACCACTAATGGCTTTAGGTTTTCTTTATGAAATAACCGTATAATTTGTTTTTAGTGGATTGATGTTTGTTTACAAAAGAATAACTCATTAAAGAGATTATTTTCCTCCAAAATACTATGAAAAATCTATTCATACTTCCCTCTTATTTGGTCCATAAGATTTGGAATTCTCCTTAACATAAATAATAATTTTAAAGTAACTTTTTTCCTTTTGCAGATTTACCTAGGAATATTCTGTAAAGAGACAAGTAACTTACCCTGGCCTTTCTGTCCCGTGAAAAATATCAGATTATCTTGTACTGCTGAGTTGTTGTTTGCCAGTTGAAATTTCAGGCGGAATTCATAGTAGAAGCTGATATTTGGGATTGCAGAAAAGGCTAGGAATGAGGTATAGCCAAATACATCTGTGCCACTGAAACTGGGCTGGCTAATATTAATAGCTGCATAAAAACAAAGAAATTAAGTGTTACAGGAAATCTGGCAAAAGATTTTTTAAAAGAATGTGTAGAAATCCATTTTAGTATTTGAACACTAATAAATACTAATAATCATTTACTCTGTTGTGTTGTACATCAGATTTACACACACACACACCACCTTTCACCTGAATTCTTCTAACAACATTACCATTAAGTCTTCATAAATGGGGCTATTTTACAACTGAATTATTAGCAGTTGGTGCCATCTGCTGGTCCTGGGAAAGTATTACTTGTATCTAGTAATAAGCGACACCATTTACTTCTTAATGCTGTGAGACAAAAGAAAGGCTACAAAGGAAATTCTTCCATTAAGCAACACTCTCTCCTACACATATATGAATGAAACACACAGAAATGTATTAGAGGGCTATGAATTAATAAAAAAAAAAGTAACATGAGGATAAGTTTGCAGTAAATTCAACTGAATCCAAAAGGAAACAGTTCAAGGGATTACTTTGTTCCGTTGTTTGCAGACTGAGCTGTTGAATCATCCAAACTATTTGACATACAGAGCAATGTTCCCTCTAATTTTTCCCACCCATGTGTGGACTGAATTTTGTTATGTGCTCCAATATGGAGGTGATGTATGGTGGGGGTGGGGCCAACAGGGTTTCAGAATGTGGGAGGGGGCTTAGGGATGGGGCAGAGGGTTTGGGTGCAGAGGTGTGAGGGCTCTGGCGGGGTGTGTGGGCTCTGGGTTGGGGCCAGGGATGAGGGGTTTGGGGTGTAAGCTGCCCCAGGGCTGAGGCAGGGAGAGAGGACTTCCCCCAGCTCTCTCTCCCGATAGCAGCTCCAGGGCTGGGGCAAAAGTGTCTCTCCCTGCCGGAGCAGCTCCGGGGCTGGGGCCGGGGCTGGGGGATAGGCGCTTCTCCCAGCTTGAGCCCCGGGCGCAGGGAGAGGCATCTGGCCCCACCACAACCAAAGGGCCATGGGGGAGGGGCTTCTGTCCTCACCGCAGTCCCTGGTCTGGGGGTGGCGGGGTGGGGAGAAGTGTCTCGCCCCACTGTATACCCAGGGCTAGGGGAGTCCTCTCTCCCTGCCGCAGCCCCGGGGCTGGGTGGGAGAGGGGTCTGGCTCCACCGCAGCCCCAGGGCTGCGTGGGGGAGAGACATCTTGCCCTGTCGCATCCCCAGGGCTAGGGGGGTCGCCACAGCCCAGCACGTCCCAAGCTCCCCCATCACCACCCCCACCTCATCCCACTGCCCCCACCTCCCCACTATTCCCCACCTCACCCCACTGCCATCTTCCAGGTCCACCTGTGGCCACGCCCCTGAATGCAGTGTGCACTCCTAGCGGCTCTGCTAATTAAGTGTGTGGCCCTTGGTGGCCTCCTGCACAGACGTGCAGGTGCACACCTTACAGGGAATGTAGGTACGGAGGCAACAAATATACCAAAAATTCTGTCATTTACAAGAGTGAGTAAATCATTTGTCTTTGGGTATTGATTTTTTATGTTTTGAATTGATACTCTCTGAAATTATTTTGATTTTTCATTTTGGTGAGAAAAGCTGGAAAAAAAATCAGATTTGGTTTGACACAACCCTGTCCATCCCCCACCCCCCGCCCAAATCAATGGTTTACTGATTTCTTCCCAAGAGTATGGCAAGGGAAACATGATTTAAAAAACAACAACAACAACAACCCTCAATCATGCATTTGACTTTCTGTAGGTAAGAATTAGGACAAGATTGTGATTTCCTATATATGAAAGGGAGTTTCAGAATTGATTTATATTGCATTTCTCGGGAAATATGTATTAATAACCTTTCCACCCCTACTTTGTTATTTAGAGACAAACATGAGAAATAAAGTCTGGGCATTATTCATTTATTTGTGTATGTGCATGCCAGGCAACACAGCATGATGAAAGCACTCTGTATGCCTCTCACTTCACTGCATAGACTGCTCTCACTGCACAAGGCAAATATATATGTGTGTCCAGATACAATACTGAGGGACATTTTAGATATGTGTATTATACAGAGCTGGCCAAAATCTTTTGACAAAATTGTGAAATATTCTAAATTGTTTTTGGTAAATGAAATATAATTAAAATCAGTTCTGTATAATATAATGATAACACATAGAGTTAACTGTTTATTTTATAGGATTTAATGTCATAATGATGGGTTCCCTTGGGGTGCCACCTGGAATTGGGGTACCACTGAGCCTGCCTGACCCACCAGCCTGGGCTCCCTCTCACACCATGCTGCTGTGACAAGTTGCTAAGCTCTCCAAGCTTGCTCTTTCACCAGCATACACACAGATAGGGACATACCCAGCTGCAGCGTCACACAGGTGCTGAGATCAGCTCTGCATGGGAAGGCTCAGCCACGGAACTGCCCAGTTACTCAAGTGCACACTCCCCTTTGAAGGGCAAATCCAAAATTATACCATTTTGCACTGCACAGAGAACTGTACAGCATAAGTTCATGAAATTCGCCGCCTCCCTTAATGTGGAGGAAGATATGCAATAGTTTTCTGCCCCAAGTATGATTTCCACACTCTGATTTTAGACAAAACAAAAGCAAGTTTATTAACTACAAAAGATAGATTTTAACTGATTATAAGGGATAGCAAACAGATCAAAGTAGACTACCTTAATAAATAAACAAAACTGCAAACTGAGCTTAACACACTAGCTAGGTAGAATATGAATTAGCAAATTCTCATCCTGAGTGATAAACAGGCTGGCAGATTCTTAAGGTATAATTTGCCTTGGCTTTCGCAGGTTTTCATCCCCAGGCTAGAAATCACTCTAGTCTAGGACCATAAATTCCTATAGTTCAGCCTTTTTTCCTCAGATGTTTCCAGGTGTGTTGTTGTGGGGGGGGGGGGGGGTGAGGTACCATCGTGATGTCATTTTATATTTTCTTCCCACTTGCTGGAAAGCTCTTTTGCTGTGACCTGGGTCAAACAGTTCCCATTGTGTCATGCTATCTCTGAAAGGTTTCTGTTGTACACAGTTCCTGGGGTAATCCTTGTGCTTGTGTGCATTTCCTCAATGAGCCATTAACACTGTTTGGCCTTTTTATTTTTGTACCGGAAAGGCTGCTTATTGGTTTTTTCAACCTCACAACATGTTTCAGTAACACACACATAGCCAAACTCCATAACTTCACATACGACAATAGGGAGGGAGGTGGTGGAATCTCCTTCCCTAGAAGTTTTTAAGGTCAGGCTTGAAAAAGCCCTGGCTGGGATGATTTAGTCGGGGATCGGTCCTGCTTTGAGCAGGGGGTTGGACTAAATGACCTCCTGAGGTCCCTTCCAACCCTGATATTCTATGATTCTATGATAGCACATACAATCCAATGAGATACTAATGTCTAGCAGATCAAGACTTTTAGAATGATACCTCACAAGGCATACTTTGTACAAAACATATCCTAATTACATGACAGTGGTGAATATTGGGGTGCCAGGGTGTCACACTCAGCCTTTTCTAGTGTTGCTTTAAAATTTTATATTTGGGAAGTGCTCTGGGGAAAGAGGTTTGAGAGATTTAGAAGACCAAAGTGAGGGTGGAACTTCTTAACAATGCTTAGACAAATAGATGTCACAGATGGGCTAAACAGCTGCAACAAAAGTACAAAGCACCTCTAAATATAGATGGGGAGATTCTGACACTGCAGGTAAGTCACATATTTTGATATCTGCTGAACATCTGAACTTCATGAACACTGTCAAGTAGTTTTAAAATCATTTGTAGAGGCATCACTCCAGAATGTTAGTGACATTAGTGTGAGAAACCCTTCAGAAATACCTTAGACAGAAGTGACATGTTTTGGAACAGAATTGTGCAAGGAAAGAAAAGCATACTGAACAATGTACTTCTGAGACTGTCAACATATTCCCCTAACTTGACAGTTGCTGTAGGCAGGACAGCTGTTTTGAGGACACCTGAAAGAACTGATTGTTCCCATGATCTTTACTTTGGGTGTGTATTTGGGTTTGTTTACATTGGCACTTCATTGGCAAAACTTTTGTCGTTCAGGGGTGTTAAAAACACCCCCCCCCAAATGACAAATGACCAGGGAGGAGTATAAAAATATTGCTCAGGCATGCAGGAGTGAAATCAGGAAGGCCAAATCACAATTGGAGTTGCAACTAGCAAGGCATGTTAAGAGTAACAAGAAGGGTTTTTACACGTATACTAGCAACAAGAAGAAGGCCAGGGAAAGTGTGGGCCCCTTACTGAATGGGGGAGGCAACATAGTGACAGAGGATGTGGAAAAAGCTGAACTACTCAATGCTTTTTTTGCCTCAGTCTTCACAGGAAAGGTCAGCTCCCAGACTACTGCACTGGGCAGCACAAGATGGGGAGGAGGTGAGCAGCCCTCAGTGGTGAAATAACAGGTTAATGACTATTTAGAAAAGTTGGATATGCACAAGTCCATGGGGCCAGATGCAATGCATCCGAGGGTGCTGAGGGAGTTGGCTGATGTGATTGCAGAGCCATTGGCCATTATCTTTGAAAACTCGTGGTGATTGGGGGAGGTCCCAGATGATTGGAAAAAGGCAAATACAGTGCCCATTTTTAAAAAAGGGAAGAAGGAGAATCTGGGGAACTACAGATCAGTCAACCTCACTTCAGTCCCTGGAAAAATAATGGAGCAGGTCCTCAAGGAATCCACTTTGAAGCACTTGGAGAAGAGGAAGGTGATAAGGAACAGTCAATATGGATTCACCAAGGGCAAGTCATGCCTGACCAACCTGATTGCCTTCTATGATGAGATAACTGGCTCTGTGGATATGGGAAAAGTGGTGCACATGATATAACTTGACTTTAGCAAAGCTTTTGACACAGTCTCCCACAGTGAGAGTCCCACTATTCTTGCCAGCAAGTTAAAGAAGTATGGGCTGGATGAATGGACTATAAGGTGGATAGAAAGCTGGCTAAATCATCAGACTCAACCAGTAGTGATCAACAGCTCAGTGTCTAGTTGGCAGCTATTATC